GTAGTTTTAAAATATTCTGAAAAATATTTTTGAGGATGAGGGAACTTCATCCTAGCGTTCCGAATTGCTCAAAACCAATCTTTTGTTAGAGCACACCATGAATCACTTCTCAACTTCATTGTGTAAGGAAAGCACAAATGCATGGAATCGGTCTCACATGGTTCAAAACAGAATAAGCCCCCCAAAAATCTGGGCATACATAGACACGTGGGATTTCAACGCCTATAAATATGTGATACAGTAAGTTTTTTCTGTGGGAATCCCTTTGCTCTACCTGGTCCGGTAGAGGACATTCCCTTTGAAACAAAGCAGAGCTTACTGGAAACAGTACCTTGGCAGAGCAACTTCCTAACAAGTGAAACACTGGCTTCGGTGCTCAACTGCTGCTGCTAAGATGCACTATAGCTGCTCTCAATTTCGAAGTAGTAACTGTTACATACCAAATTTTACCTTTGCCTTCTTAACGTGGACACTACAGTTCCATCCCACCTTCTTCTTCAGTATGTAAGTAGAAAATGAAAGCCTTCGTGAATAGTCTTTATCAAACCACGTGTCCGAACAGAAAAAAGAATTCATTCTATGGTTAAGAAGGGTAGTGCAAATGGGGTCACGATAGTGCAAGGGATAAGAGCACGGCGCGCGGATAGCGCAAGTGCAGGCTCGAGTCCTTTCGGAAGCGAAAGTTTTGTCCATGACTCGCCAAAACTTCGGCCTCCGAAGGGACTCGAGCCTGCACAACCCGTGAGACTTTCGGATCGCTTACTGCGGCAAAATAACAGCAGTTATCAAAATATCATGTCATTCTGTTGTACCTAACGGTAATTTAACCAAAAATGATGTGGCTTGTGCTGAGCCTTGACAAAGCAGTGTTCGCCTTAGGTAAGCATCGAGGATCTGCAGTTGGGTGCAGTGAACGGGAGGCTCAGTGCACCCAAATCCGAAACCGAAAGTCTTGCTCTAACAGGTCGCCGTGAGCCTGTAACACCGTGGGAAGATAGAGAAAACACCTGGGGCCCTATACCTATTGTTAGAGATGTCGCAGGCTGCTAATTTCAGTTAAATGATTTCATGATTACCTGACTCTGCAATTGAAAGCCTAGAGGATAGTAGTCATCGTGTTCAATTTCCAGTAAGTCTTAGCATAGTATGAAGATTTCCTGAAGTCTCGACCGAGATAAGTTGATTCATTCAGTCAAAACTTGCTGGTGTCGCTCCCGTTCAAGTTTGAAAGCTAATGAGATGTGGAGATTATTCCGATCGAAGGCATTTCAAGTCTAACCTCAATGCTAATGTAGAGTAATGTACCTAGAAAGATTTCGTAAAGCACAAAGGGGTAGAGAATCAAGTGCAGTATTTACCAGTCATTAACCTTCAAGCTGCGTCGTGTGCAACCCTATTAATCTGATTTAGTTTTCACAAACAAAACTTTTAAATCGAGTGGACGATGGAAAGAGAAGCTCTCGAAGTTTCCCACTTATTGCCCACATAAATCCTGGTTCATTCTTTTCAACGCTACATTGCACATCAAACACCTACGCATCTGCATGTAGGGGACAGTGACAAAGCTGTGTGGATCATGAAAGCTTCAAAGGCGTAAAAATTGTTTATTTGTGAACTTAAAATATGAAAATGTGCTCCATCAGGAGCCATCAGAAGCGCTCGGTCAGGTATTGCGACAAACTATTCGCACAAGTTTCTCCAGCAATAAAATCACGTGAAAAAAATCGCTTTACAGTTTGAAATAATTGCAATTCTCACTAATCATTCTAAAAATTCGGAAATTCATGAGAGTGCATTTCTGTATCAGTGTAAATAACTCTCGAATCGGACGACAATGCTGATGAAGTCGTTTATCGTGAGATAAGGCACAAAGCGAAATGAATGCGCAGTCATTAGAGCATATATACGGGGCAAACTTTAATTATGTTTCACGCAAAGAAAAACATTTTCTCTGAGTCTACCACTTGGCATGGTCTCACGAGAAATTGTCTTGTAATTGGGTGAGGTGATTAAGCTTAGACATTTTATGAAATTCGAGGACGTGAGTGGTTCCAAATTTGATTGATATGATTCACTTTATTTTTTCTCTGAAGGCACAGTTCACGATAAAAATGGTTTCTGAGATTCCCCACAGGATGAATTTGAGGCCCCGGCGTATACCACACCTGCACTATTGGGTCAGAAAACGGCCTAGTTAGGGAGTTATAAAAGCTCAAAAATTGGCCACTGCGCATTCTCGGACGAGTTTCACCAGCATTGTAGAGGCTGCACTGATCATAAGGGAACCCATGTAGGAAGTTCAAACGACTTGCATGACCCATAGCGACACAGAAAGACAATTCTGTACAGTTCTGGTTTGATGTAGTCAGCTCTTTGTGCGATTGCAATAACTGAAATCTCGTCCGAATATCCCTTTCAATGTTATTTCCGTCATGGCAACCTCGTCCAACCTTTATTTTCCCTACTTTTGAGAAGACATATTTTTCTCGATACCGGCGAATTCTCTCACTTTCTTCACTACCGGTAAACTATTCCCAATCTATACATCCGCTTTTCGAATAAAAACAGGAACCTCAAAATTATCGTGATCTCATAGAATATTGACGACGATCAGTACCAAAGGGTCGAGTCAGAACGGTTGAAGCAAGCCGTTCTTTTGAGCAGGACCAGTGCCCTTTGGGGGATGACGTCACTGAGCTCAACTGGCCCTTCATTTAATTCTCGTTTCAATTGTTGCACGAGTGATCTAAGATTTACAGCACTAAGATAGAACTATTAGCTTGGCATACATGGAATTCGACTCTTGATTTCGGAACTCGATTATCTTCCCTGTTTGCACACCCAGACTCTAGCCTTAAAATGCTTCTTCAACTCATTTTCCCAAGACTTTTCATCCAGAGCTTTTCTGATGTTATTGTCAAATGTGTTCTCAGAGGCTGAATAGAGACTGTTGGCGACCAAGACCACTAGCTAATTGTAGCCTATCTTTTTCCTGATCTCGCTTTCGGTATACCTAGTTTTTGTCGTGTAGGCCATCCATCGTTTCCGCTTTCAAATTGTCCTGGCCAATGCCAATATCGAAAACTTGTAGATATTCAGTCACACACCTCGATCCAACGCTTCTGTCATACGGCACTTTGCAGAATACAAGATTAAGATCGATTGTGACAGGATCTTGCTGTAGCGCTAAGCGCTCTTATTCCTTACCTCACTAACCACATGTCCATGAAAGTTTGCCTTAGCGTTTACTCGGTAATGTCCTCAGATTGTATGGTTCATTCCCTTTTTCTGATCTTTTTTTTTAATGATAAGCATCTCTAATCTTTCCACATGTATGTCACAGAGAGCACAACTGTAAATCCTCATTTCCGTGCCCTAATTAATCAATCCTCTCAACTTCGACCGACCGAAAAATAGTGACTTCTGAGCCTTCATTTTTAATAAGGGTGCGAAGCAATTAGAATTAGATCAATAGCTGACCGTAAAACGAAATGCTGATTCATTTGGACGAGTTGGTTGGCATAGAATTTGTATTTGGTGATAATTGGAGAACATGCGCCCCAATGCCAAAGTGGGTGCGAAAGGTCGCGCCAAACGACCGCCTCCCACCCAGATCTTCTTAGAAGTTGGTTATCGCTCAGCTCTGAACGTATCGCTCACTGTTTAGTTGTCCTGTCGATCATTATTTCTGGAAGTAGTCTTCGAAATTCCCAGTACTGTTTTGCGATCATTCCGATTGAAGTCATAACAACTGTTCCACCGTCAGCAATTACCTGGTCGTTTAGTACTCTTCATTGTTGTTTGTTTGTTTATGCTAATCATTTAATACTTCCTTACAGAATATTCTGAACTGTTCACGCCACTGGAAATTTTGCAGCAGTTTTTGGTCTGGTCTCCGTATTAATCGTTTTGCACTAGTGCCTTCTATGGCTTTATCTCATTCAAAATCAGATCCAGCTAATGCGGAGGAATTTTACAAAAAGGTTAGTTGTTTTCATCTTTAACTACATGTAACTTTGCATGGTTCCTTTTTTATTCTGCCAAGTTCAGAATCTGTCTGACACAGCCATACTGAATTACTTTCTCCTATCTTGACTAAATTCATAGAACCCAGTATTGAATGCATCAATTTACTAGGTTCTATGAATCCATTTTTATTCTTTCGCTATAGTACACTCTGTCTCCTTTACTATATTCTTTTTTTACTTAAGTAGAATGCATTTAAATAGACTAGGGGCTATTTAGATGCATTCACTAGGGGCTTGTATAGCACCAGCACCAGCGGCCATTTCGTTGCGGATCCAGAGGTTCAGCAAAAAATACTTGTATTCTTCGACCAACATCATTTTCCAATACTATGCGCTGAATAATTGTTTGATGATTACACTTTTCTTCAACACTACTGTGTGATTTTTACATTCACAGCAATGAGTAACACTAGTTAGGGAATTCTAAGCCGAAATTTGAGTCGCTCTGCTTACTCAGTTACACGGACGTCAATTTTCCGAATTTCTAGTTAAATATCGATATCGATCCATAGAACAACGTCGGTATCCAGATAGCATTTGTACTTTCTGCAGAAAACCCGACGTATTTCCATTACGGAAAGGTAACGTATCCATGCAATTGAATTTCTTCTTATATAGTTCAGAGGGTGATGAGAAGCTAAGAAGCAACCTCGGACCTACCTATATGAACTTTCCAATTCCTCCTCATTATTTGTCTTTGTTTTCAATATAGGGTAACATCGTAGATTCTGAAACAATCATCTAACTTCTTGAACTTTCAAACGCTAGAAATTGTTGAGTGATAATGTTTCCCCATAAATGAATAGCAGTTTTTAACAAATATTTCTTCAAATTTGTTTCTTCTTTTTCGAATAATTTCGTGTTTTTCCATTCGGTTACAGGAGGATAGGAACAAACCAAACCTAGTTTTCTCACTGTTCGAGACTATGTAGCTCTTGAAGGAGAGCGCTTATTCAGCTCTTAATCTCCTCCATGGTTGGTTTATATTGGTTTCACGACTTGTTAATTTTTCTTCATCCACCTAGCATGTTCGATCAGAAAAGTTTATGAATGAACCAGCCGAGTAAAAGTCAAGTAACTATCCAGCCGCTGTGAATGAAATAAGGGCCTAATGTGTTTTCTTGACTTTCGAAAAGTAACTATTGGTTAGGAGCTATTGTTTTGGACTGTTGGTAACTATTGGTTTGGAACTAGAGGTCTTGTTTTATCATTCTCATTCCCCCAAATTCGAAGCGACCAGGAGGTCTAGTGCTTTGCTTTAAAAAAAAACTGTCCTGTGCCCTCACCATTATTCTTCAGCGATTCTTATTTGGCAATTCCTCCATATAGTAAGCTCTACTAAGGTCGTATACTTCACCGGAAGATAACACGTTTTTCTCATTAATTATCACTTATTCCGTGTTATTCAGGCCGAAGAATTCTGGTCTAATGCAAGCAGAGACATCGATGGTATGCTTGGAGGATTTGCCAACTTACATGTTCCCGACATAAGGGCTTCGAAGAGTTTTATCAAAAAATTGAGAGATAAGGTGCGTTGCTTTTCAATACGTACCGTTGGTACGTGTTCTATCGCCGAGATCTGCAACGCTTTTGTTTTTTTCTTTGTTGACTTTGTTCATGTACACATTAGTGAAAAGTGAGTCTTGTCGAAAAACTTTTTTNTTTTTTCAAGTGTTAACCTCAGCGAAGAGGCAGCAAAATCCATGTGCAGTCACAGTTTGCTGGGTAAAATTTGGAACGAATTTTTATCAGCTTTTTAAAACATTTTTTCATATAAAGGCGCCTGGCTTTTTGATAGATGTGATAGTCCTCCAATTTTCACTAGATTTTCGTTTTTGCTTTTGCTGAAAAGTTTCCTATCTTTGAATAAATCCCCTCCTAACTAATCTAATCTACTGCGCACTGGGGGAATATTACATTCTGATTCTCTTCCGTTGTCTTGGCCCTCAGTTCTCTCTTCTTTATAACTTTTGAGGTTCCCTTTGTTGTAAGCAACGTGAGTCAACATCTAACTTGTTTTTCTAACTTTGTCCTTCAATGCATACAAAATTGTGAAGAAGTAAGTAAATTGACATGTTCAAAAACAGTAGCAGCCTATGTAAAATATACCACAACAACTGGGTATTCTAGGAAATTTCTCCTCTCATAAACTAAGCGTTACTGTTTTTAAGAGTTGCGCTGATTTTTCTTGTGATGAAGGTTCTTTCTTATGGCACAATTGGCATAGAAGTGTTCCGGAGTTCGATGTTCAGTTCATCAACGAATTTCTAATATTAGTGAAAGCTGCAATATGCAGTTGTATGTGCTAGCAACTGATTTACAGATTTTCGGGAAGCAATTGGTTACTTGTGGGAATGATGAACGTCAAGTGGTACCCGCTATCACACGTATTTTCCGGGGAATCGAATATCGCGCCCAAATACTGCAACTCTTTGAATGGGCGTTGAACACATGCGAACCCTTTTCTCTCTCCAAATCAGGCTTGCTTAGTGCCAAGAAATCAAATGTTTCGGTTTTCTCTTTCTGCAAAAACTTCGTTTCGCTCAGCTACTAGTGACTCTCAGAAATCATTCGTTGACGGAATCGCAATCGAAAAATAAAGTAAATTTCTTTAGGGAGCTGTTGTTTTCTTTATTGCAAGGTCACGGTTAGCTCCTTGAATGGTTCACATCTTTTCATGTTCACGAGGATCCATGAGGGAAAGTTAATTTTCTTGCAGAAGTTTCTGGTTGAAAATAATCGTGCAGCAGACTGTGGTGCAGGCATCGGACGTGTGACACGACATTTGCTACTACCATTGTTTAAGAACGTGGTGATGGTCGAGCCTGTAGCGGAGCTTTTAGAGAAAAGTGTTTCATACGTAGGTTAGTTAGTTCTAATTTCAGTTTCCAACATGATCTCGGATCTGTTTGATTTCTAGGGCAAGGAAACGTGACCAGAGTGCAGGTTGGACTACAGAATTTCTATCCGGATCCTTCAACTTTTGATCTGATATGGATACAATGGTGTTCAGGCCATTTAACTGACAGTGACATGGTCAACTTCCTCAGCCGTTGCATAGTGAGTTCAAGTATTGTAATCATGAAGAGAGTGTTTGGGTTGTATTTTACTGCTTTATCTTAAGGACGGCCTCACTGATGACGGTGTTATAGTGTTCAAGGATAACCTCTCCGCACAACAAGAATCTGAGTTCGATTGTGAGGACTACAGCTGGACGAGACCAGAAGCTCTTGTGTTGGAGTTATTCGATAGAGCAGGCCTCAGAGTTGTTGCTGAAAACTTACAAACAGGTTTTCCTAGTGGGATGTATAAAGTTAAAATGTTTGCGCTTAAACCGATCGCAAGCAAGTATGCTAAAACTAAACCTGAGAACTAAGTTCTCGTCAGATCTCTATTTTCAAATGTTCGTAATATTCCGCTGAATCCTTCATTGAACTGCAAATGCACGGTCATATCATGGTATTGTTATGGTTTTTATTAGGCTTTGATNAAAATTGTTAATTTATTGTCATTCCTTGTTCTGCTCAAATAAACTTGTATTGAAGCCCCAGGAGCTCGTGGATTTTCCTTTTTCGGTTTACGAACGTATCCTATGCTCTCAGCAAGAGAGAAGTACACTTTTTCAGAAAAAAAGATGAGCTTCCAACCTCTCTCTTGCTTTAACCTCGGCTTAGCTGTATATGATTGAAATCCTCTTGAGCGTGCGTGGTTGGTAGGTGGAACAAATAATTGAATAATGGGCCTAACGTTTCGACGTTATCGTCTTCATCAGAGACCTAAAGCAACTCGAGACACAGTATCCAAGAAGCGTATTGCCTCCTGGCGAATGTTGCGGCGAATGCAAAACCCATAATTCAAAACATAACTCACCAAGGTTTCCGCTCCCGAGCGGATATAAAATCCGCTGTTGCCACAAGCGACTGTCAGTAGCGAATGCGACTAATCGCAGTCTCCCTTATATTAGTGACAAGGAAGATCGCGTTATAATGCGACTGAGTCATAAGTCGCAGTGCGGTATATGGGACAAAAGATCGTTGGTTACGGTTAATTATCTCTACCGTTAATTTTACGATTTCTTTGGAAAATCCAGAACGCGCCAATGCCTTTCTCACTGATGACGTAGGCGCTCCTACTCCAAGCCTGTTGGTACTGTTCGTAGACTGATGCAGCCGCTCTTAATCCAAGCTTCCGTA